AATGTCGATTTGCGTACAAGTCGCCACGGGAAGCCTTTAGAACACCCAAAGAAACCCTTTACTCGTAAATAATTCAGCCTAGCTCTCATCCCAGTTGCGTAAAAACCCCTCTTTGACCGATTAAAATAGTAGCACGCAACAGTATCGGTATTTTGTACAATTTCGGAAGGATGTGCGCTGTACAGTACCTAAATTAACATTTTTTACATGTATTGCTATATCGATATTAACGTTAAATGCTGTGATACATACAACAATTGTATGTGCAGTCGAAACAACGGAATCGAAGTCAAAATTATTATTCACGAGGGTGAAAGTAAAATACTATGTATTGCGTTTTGTATTATATCCAATAACATCATCTAGGCCCAATAAAAATATTTATTTGAAACTGGCTAATTTTAATTGGTGGATATAATTTTTTCCAGAAAATGATTTATGGTAACAGTAAGCTTCGCTGCGAATAAAATAGTTGTACACGTAGCCACGTAGCCACGTTGTCATGCATGTATTACATGTACTATCTGAATATCATTTTATTTCCAATTATCTTTCTGAAACTAGGTACAATAACTATAATGACCTTTGTTCGTTTAATATATTTTTCGTCTTCCATATAAATTTTAGCTGAAATCTTAATTAGACAGGTACGCGCTATTTGTCTTAGAAAAGAAAAGATCATCGTTTTTATAATGCAGAGCTGATAAGGGGTCTCAGGTCTGGTACTTTAATGACAGGAGGAAGGAGGATACATTGCGCCTGAAAGAATGGATGCATGTAAAACTCCCCGATATATCGGTAGCTAACAAAGAAATCAAATATTTTTTATAATGGATCTCGGGTCGCACTTTCTTGGTATTTTGAATCAACAGTAAAAAATTTGTTTTCTAAAAGAAATCAATGCATGAAAAGTATGTAAAATTGTATTGTTCGCAAGCCCTAATTGAAGTACATTTGCTTTTAACCAATAATGAGACACTACCAAAGCAATTCTCCGTTTCTTTGTAGGCTTTAATTCTTGAAAAGGCAAAAAAATAGTGAACGGTTTGCCTGACTAATGTTTCTTCTAATAAAACTTTCAGATATCTATTCGAAATGACGCCCAAAGAACATGATTCGTCTTTAGAGAGGAGCATTTTTGTTAGCTTGATATGTACTCATCAATGAATAACATAAAACTATTAGGAAAAATACACATCTATATAAAACCAAGCTCCAATTACCTAAAGAATAAATTTTTATTTGTTTTTAATATAAAACTTGTTGATTCAAACTTTTTCTAACGCTAACTCATCTCAACATTACAATAAAACAAATTACGTAAAATAATATGGATCAACAATCTAACCAACAAAATCTGCAACCTTCAGCTGATTATTTAAACACGACGCAGAGCATCATTAATGGAACTAATGATATTTTAAATAACCAGTCTCCTACATCGAATGTAAACGACAATAATGTTTTAAAAGTATTCATGGACGCCTATTGTTAAATAAACCTCTAAATTTTTCTTTTTTTATCTTTCGTTCTATAAATTGATTTATTCTGTAAGACAATATTATGTATCTTTGATATTTGTAAAATTAATCCCTTATTTTATCTAAATTGACTTTGAATTTTTGATTTCATTATACCTCCTATTTTATTCTAAGCATACATATAGTTTGATAAATTAAATCATTCCTTTTTTAATCATGCATTTTCACCACTTACATGTATTTCGATCGTAAATTTTTTATAATCTTAAATGTACCTTTTTTATGAGAAATATTTATTTTTATAAATTATATTTTTTCGTATTTTCAATATTCAACTATAATAAACTTTGAAACAAATCTAAATATAATTTATAAATATTATATAACAATTCTATATTTTTATATATAATTTTGAGAAATTAGCCATTGAAAATAAAAGTATAATTATTTTACATAGCATATTAATATTTGTGTGGTTTATAGATAATCTGCTATCTAACGATAGTTGAAATTATTTTGCTAATGTCAAAATTTGTCTAATCTAAATGTCTAGATGTCTAAATGTTTAAGTGTCTAGATGTCTAAGTGTCTAAGTGTCTAGATGTCTAAATGTCTAAGTCAAAATTTATTTATTTTTTGATAGTATTTTTAAAAAATAGCAAAGTCAAAATTGTCTAGATTCACTTTGTCTAAATGCCTCCATGTCAATATAATTTCGACACTAACCATATCATGATTTTTGGTGTTTATGTCGTGGCTGGTCTAAAGTTAATGAATAAATTTTGAATTCAAATAATTGGCGAACATAAATTGTTCAGGGATAAAGTATAAGGTTGAATTCAAATGTGTCGCGATATTTATCAGGACATCTGTATTCTAAAAAAATGCAATTGATTTAGTAAAAATCGAATCAGCATTTATTCTATCAATAATTTCTTAATATTGAGTAAAGAATCGCATATTAAAAGCTTACCATTTGCGAAAAATCAGGAGAGACGATATAATCGTTCCTGGTTAAATTCGAGCTCTGATTTTTGCCGGTAGCGGTAGTATTTTCAAGCTGATTAACTTCATTTAATATTTGTTCGATTCGTTTCTCCAAAGTCTCTATGTATTGGTTAGATTGATTGCAATTTTTATGAATATTTTTAGTTCCGCGGTTTCTTCTTCTTAATGATTGGTATTTTTCGTTTTGCACATAGAAAATATGCTTTTTCCCAGTAGCATCAATTTCATTTTTATTGTGTAATGATGACTTTCTAAGTGCCATTTTAAAAAGTAAAGTACGATATGTATAATATGAGAAGAAAATCTAAGATATAGTTTAAGTAAACTTATTTAATATTTTGTAATTGAAGTCAAAATTATTATTCACGAGGATTCTATTGCATTTTTATAAGTTTTGCATTATATTCCATGATGTCATCTAAAAAAAAATTACTTGAAACTGGGCTAGTTTAATTGGTGGTTATAAATTTTTCCAGAAAATGTTATGGCAAACTCTGCAGCGAATAAATAATAAATAGGTGTACGTACACGTAGCCACGTTGTCATGCATGTATTACATGTACGTACCATCTGAATATCATTTTATTTCCAATAATCTTTCTGAAATTAGGTCCAATAACGATAGTGACCTTTGTTCGTTTAATATATTTTTCGTCTCCCTTCTTAGAATTTATAAATTGCCGTTTATTATTATAGAATCAATGCATTTACGTACATGTTGACTATACTCTTGGAAATAAAACGAATGAACTGATAGATTATTTCCTATATAGAAACTACAATAAAGCTCATTTTCACTCTTTGCATTTTATAAACGGAGTTGTAGAAAACGCGTTGGCGCCAATTCTTAGTAGCAATCCGGGATTTACTTCTAATTATGGAAATTGTGGAATAAATTGCACGTCTAACTGAACTGACTGTATTGCAAAAAATCTACAACTATAACAACAAATGAAAAATTAGTTTTATTATAGGGTTTCCTTTGTTAAAAAAGTTTTTCATTGTCGATTTTTAATCAGACATCCACAATTTATAGTATTTGTCGAATAAATTATATGCACATATCACAACTGTTTGAGCTGCGTGCGTATATAATAGAACAAAGATAATATTAAAACATAAGAAGCTAGAGAAGAATAGCAAAAGATTGAATAAAAGAAAGCAGAATTCACTATTTTAATTTTATAAATTTTGTTTTTCTCTCAAGAAATTAATTCGTTTAAAAGAGCTTCATTCAGATCTGTATTTATTATTATCTATTACAGTCAACTCCCTAAGTGCACCCCCTAGGGACCGAATACAAGCATCCATTTATAGAGTGGGTATTTAGCAGTAAAACCATTGAATCATCGGACCAAGTTCTTGAAAATAAACCTGGGCTTAAAGGCGCTGCTAAATATGTGAGTTGTCTAATTAATAACATTTTAAAATAAAAGTTCTTTTAAAGCACTTTTAAAGCGCTTTAAAAGTGCAATTTTAAACCTTTTTTCAAGTATTTTTAGATTGCCCATTTAAAAACGATTTAAATGCGATCCACTGTTGTGGTAGAAAGCTAATGCTCTTCGCTTCCAATCATAGCTTTAATGGCTCCAGATTACTTTGCATT